TCATTGAATTAGAGAAGCAAATTTGGCTGAAATTTGACTTTCAATCAATAAATACATAATAAATACATACTTATTATGCACAAGACTGAACAGTGTAAAACTTATTAAAAAAAATAAAAATTGATCTATTTATTTGTATTCAGTCAACGAATTTAACATGCCTATAAGAGTCAATATTACAATCAAGAAATTGCAAATCTTCGAAAAATAAAAATCATGACTTTACGTGAAATATCGATGTCGGTGTATTAATAAATCCTAAAATATATCTATATATATCCTGAAAAAACACCTTTTTGTTTTACGCGCGGCCAAGCTTGAATTTAATTTAAGTTAAATATATCTAAAGTTTATAATATTTTGTAACGATCCGACCCCTTTACTCAAGTCGTTAATTTATGTATATTGTTCGCTATGGAGGAAGCTGAGCCTATCTTACCCCTCATGAAATTCTATCGCGTCTCCAGGATTCAAATCCACCTCCTTTATTTTATGAAAAAATCAAGTTGAAATCTGGTATCACCTGAACACGTTTTAAATACTTTTTTTATGTTTGACTTTTTTTGAATGTTAGTAGCACACCGTTAATTTTTTAAAATTAAATTGTTCGCCTTTTCTCTTGTACCATTTATTAGCAAAGGGATTGGGAAAATTTTACCTTTACATAATTATTGTTCATCGTCCATAATGTGATGTGGCAATCATTCGGTTGTTGATGTGTAAGTGTGAAATTTGAATTAAAAGTTGAATCTAATACCACGTGTAATTATAGATACCATTATGTAGACAATTATATACATGTAACACTTCCTGAGAGATTGACCCCTATTCACTTCTATGGCAATGACCGCATTCACTACATCCTCTGGAGTTAGAGCTGCATCCGTTGCTTACAACTGAGTCATTTAAAATCTACTTTGGGGAAAAAAAATTCACTTACTTTTATAGCAAACATGCTGTTACCAATTGAATTATATGAAATCCACTTCAAGTAAAAAAGAAAAGAAAAAGAAAAAAAAAAGGTGATTGTTTGTTTACTCTTCGTTTTTCTTCTATTTCTTTGCAAACGTGTTCACTACTTGAAATAAGGGCCTGTTTGATACATGCCATTTTCCATGGAAATTTTCTTTATTTTCCGCATTTTTCCTTGTTTGATTACAAGAATCTTGCCTGAAATTGATTTTCTCTCCCCCGACCACATGACCCCTTTTTCTTTGATTTGGTGTTTTAGTAAAAATTTATTTTCTTTTTTTTGCCAATTGGAATAAATTCCATCTACAACTGTAACAATTCTATTTATTTAATTGACAGTTTCTATGAAAAAAGTCAGACAAACACCAAAAGATAGAATATTTCAATATTTTTTAGGTAAAAAATTATATCAATCAAATACGTTTAATTGACAATTTTCAATAAAATAAATTATAGACAATTTAATTTTTCAAAATTCGTTTTCTTCCCCATTCAAATTTCATTTTTGCATTCGAACAGGACCTAATTGAAATCAACATCGAGTTGGAAAAAGTAATGACCCACTTATTTTTGTCGTATTTCTTGACTTATGTGTTGACCAATTGAATTATTTGAAATCAAATGCGAGTCCAAAAAAGTAATTACTCGCTATTAATATTCTTCCTTTTACTTTTCTTGGCAAATGTGCCCACCACTTCAGTCATTTGAAATCAACTTCGAATTGAAAAAAGTACTTGTTCGCTTACTCTTTCCTTTTTCTATTCTTGGGAAATGTGCTCACTTAGACATCAAAGTTCATCAAAATTTACATATTTACACGATGCTACGTGATGCCCTATCATTTGCTAATTTAAAATACTATCAATTTTTTTATCAATTTTTTTCCTTCCACATTATATTGTGTAATCCATTATGTACATATAGGAAAAATTCTAAATTAGTAAGAGCTTGTTTGGGAGTGATTTTGAGAATTGATTTTTTAATCGTTAAGAGAAAGGTGGGATCCACCTGTGGAAGTAGAAGTCAAATATGACGACTGAAATAATGAAATAACGGTTAAAAAATTAATTTTTTGGGGAAAAAAATCACTCCCAAACAGCCTGTAAATGTTCTTACTAACTGTATGTTATTACTCCTTTTTTTTTTCCCTGTATCTTAGTAATTGTAATTACCAGCTGAATTATTCAGAATCAACTTCAAATTGAGAAAAAAAAAAGAAGAAGAAGAAGTAATTATTCATTTAACTTTTTTTCTTTTTCTATTTCTTGACAGATGCTCAACAATTGAATTCTTTGAAATCAA